GGCACAAGATCCTAATGTGTGTCCCTGAAGGATTCTTGAAAGAGCAGATCCAAGTCCCAGTGTGGCCACACACCAGCTCTGTGTCCTAGGAAACACCTTGAAGCACCTCTCAGCTCAGTTTCCATGTCGACAACAAGGGCTTGGCTCCTAGAATTACATCTGTCCCAGCCAAAAGATTTCCGGGTGTGAAGGACTGTACAGTCCCCTCAAGGAAAGTTTTTTGTATAAATTACAAATGGCTTTGAGAGCCTTGTTAACCCAGCCTTTCTCCCCCAGCTGCTCTCCTTCTCAGCTCAGGCAAGAGAATCACTTAAAATGCATTGCGAGCTACAGGTAATGCGCAGGCAGAGGGGAAGCGGGAGGTGGAAAATGGGCTCTTCAGAGCAAAGCCCCACCAAGACATTAATGCTTCACACAGGACAGAAGGCGGCTCAGCGTGTTTATTTCAGAAGGCTCTCTGAACGTCCTACCTGGCCACTGAAATTCACAAGGCATTTGTTGTCGCCTTTCATTTCTTATTAACAATGGCACCCAAGCACTGACAGTTCTCTCCAAATACTGGGTGGGGGGCGGGGTGGGGGGAGGCTACTCAACAGCACAGGCCCCCTAAGGGCTCGCACCACCTCCCCATCCAGGTCCCCCTCCACATCGCCGCCCAGTATTTTTAGTAGAAACTGTCACATCCAGAACACGGAACTCCCAAATCCACACAGGCAGGCACACTGTCCACGCTAGAGGCATCCTATCTCATTTCTTTGAAGCTCATTAGAAACCGTAACCCTTTGAGCGTTTACTTTACCAAACTGCTCTCCATAATCACTCGACTCATAAAACCAATGAGAGAGGAACAGACCTGGGGCGGAGGGAAGAGTGGGGAGAGAAAGAAAGAAAACGGGCTGAATGAGGCTCAGTGACACGACTCTGAGCGTGTGACAGGAGCCACCCACCGCAGACAAAGAGCACCAAGTGGCTGGGAGACAATGCAGGCGGAGGACGCAGCAGCGGGAGGCCCGGCGGCCCCTCCCCAAACCCGCAGGCACGTCTCCCCAGCTGACCAGTGGCTCCCAGCAGCTGCCGCTGAGGAGAGACCGTCATTTCCTGGCTAAAAGGATTTATGCCATTTTAATTAGGTTTGTTTTTAAAGATAAGAAAGAACACCTCTTCATTGCCATCTTCCCCAGGTACAGCTATATTTTAAACTATCAACAGAACAAACCATGATTTTGGTTTCTTCTGTAAGAGTTTTGAATTTCTTGTGAAATCAAATAAAATAAGAGGAAAAAAGGAAGTTCAGCAAAGTAGTTCAAATCTGAGCTTGTTCGGAAAAAACAAACAAAAAGATTGGAAGGAAGCGCCATGGGGTTGGGAGACAGGGACTTTTAACCTGACGGTATTAGCTTGAGTGAAAAGCCTATGCAAAGTGGTGGAATTTTTAACATTTCACCTTTCCACTCGCCCCCAAAAGATCAAGCTCAGTTTAATTCACACATGCCTCTTAGACATCCTTGACAGAAAAAGATTGGAGATTTCACAAGTAATGTGTAAAATCTTTCCTAACCTAGAGAACATTGGGGAAAAGGATCAACTCAGCACAGAGACCTAAAACTGAAACATGGAAAAGAAAAAACAAACAGGGCCACCAGGACGCTGGAGATGTGATCACCACCAGACCAAGTCTTCTCAGAACTGCTGCCCGTGTATAAACAAAGCACTTACTTCATAAGACCCCAGGTCCCAGGTGGTGGCAGGGATAGGGTTTGCTCTTTTCAATAAGGACAGATCGGAAAAAAATGTCTCAATACCATCGGACAACAAGTGAAACATCTTTTCTGAAAAAATACAGACCTAGCTGGGAAAATGGATTTCCTCCTGCCCTCCATTCTCCCAAAAGATTAGAAAGAGAACAGAAAAACGTATGTCCTGGAGATGAATTTTGGGAATGAGCACCATCACATTCATGGGAGATAGACCACTATTTCAATGGCCATTGACAAAAAAGATTTTAATGTGAACCCGTGAGTGAAATTCTGCAGTAAAATGCATGTGATGTTTAGTTGTTTTGTACACTGCAAGAGGGAATGCAAGTCTTGTCACTCACCTGCGGAAACCTTTCTCTCTCAAACCATCTCCCACAACAGTGTTCAAGGGGATTATGCTGTGACATAATTCATCCTCAAGACATCTTGTGGGACACACAGGTCAATGTTAAAGCGACCGGTGGGTAAACACTCATTATTCAGTCTCTTGACCTTGAATTTCAGTGGTCATTTGCTTACAGCCTATCATTTACGATCATGTGCTATGTGAGGCTTTTCAAATTTCAGTGGACTTCACAGAATAAGTTGACTCTCATCAGAACGAATGAGGTGACAAAAAAACAACAACAACACTCTTCTGTCTCTTCCCTAATTCTAAGGGGACCACATGGAGAAGGTGAGCGGAAGGAGGAGGGACCCGCAGCCCTCACCCCTCCTGGTTGGTATTACAGTGACAAGAAGTAAATGAGGGGACATTTCAAGACCCCGGAGCAAAAGGGAGGAACATGTGGTTGGCCTGTCTTCTCATTCAACTGAAGTAGTTCTGTTAAACTCTAAGGGCGAACAATTTCAGGGCCAACTTTGTACCCAACCATAGCTAGGGGTGGATTGAAATTGACATTCTATAGGGTGTCCCCCCAAAATGTATACACACACTTTGAATAATTATAAAGGCAGTGTTTATGAAAATACATTTCATTTTCAAAATTGAGCTATCAGCTGTTAAATGTGTATACATTTTTTGGGACACCCTGTATATTCTTCTATCAAATGAAAACAATAAAACAGGTAGCAACAATAGCAGCAAAACTTACATAGAGCTTACCCTGTGCCAGGCACTATTGCCCGTGCTTGCATATATGAATTCACTTAATCCTCCCCCAAACCCTTTAAAGTTGGTGCTATACGTAAGTGCATATACACTTGGTTATACCCAAGAAACAAAAAGCTTCATAATGTTGGTGGTAAAATAGGACAGAGGTGGGTAATAATTTTGAAAAGGAATCTCTGAAGCCTACACATCCTGGGATGTGTCCCTGCATGTTGCTGGGGCAAATGATATATGAAGAATCTCTTGCCTGCATTTTGTTTAAATAGCTTTGTTTATAAATTGTCACCAAAGAGAATATTAATCTCTGTGGAGAGAAAAGTAAGATTTAAAAGATTTTAGGGGGGAAAGGGTATGTGCTAAATGGTGACATGACCTACTATGATGATAGTAGCTAAAAATCTATCATCAACTTGAGGGAAATTGTCTACACTCATTAAAAGAGCAAAAAATTCTAAAGAAACTTGGAACAGGGCTGGCCCTTCTTAGAAATCATAATCATCACAGCTTTCACTTCCTGGGATTCTTCTTAGTGCCATTTCCTAGGAGCTAAAATAATAATAAGGACATGGAAAATGGGGCAAAGGCGGGGGGTGGGTGGGTGGATAGAAAACGTCTCTGTGTTTCATTACATTTGGGGGCAGGGTGGGAAAAGCCTCAGAGCGCTAGAAAAAAAGAGGGGGAAATCACAATTGAAAAGGAGTTCCTGTGTCTGCTGCTTCTGCCTTCTCAGCCATTTCAAGTCCGCTGTTTGGAACAGAAGGAGAATCAAGGTAGGCTCTGCAGCCATCGGCCCAGGACAGCCTCGGAGACCAGGCTGGTCACACGTCCATCAGTGCTGACTGAGCAAGTCGGGAAAGGATGAGTCTCTCCAGCCTCCAGTTCTCAACCCCGTGCCTTTCCACCCCTTCCTGCAGAAGCCACCGGCTGCCCCCACCACGCCTGCTTCCTGCTCTTTGACGCAGCCTCTGGGACACCTGCCTTCGGAGGGACATGGCCCTTTAGGTGGCATTACTCCTGTAGCTCAGTCACTTACTGGGCCCCACTGTCCAAGAGAATTTTTTATCCACAAGAAACGGCACTGCTGGGTGCTAAGTGAGTCTGCACTGCTGAAAAAGGAGAGTCCCGATGCCTAGGACTAATGTTTGTGATATTTACCTAGGCTGGTCCCAGAGTTAGAGGAGTTTTTAAATGTTTCCCCGTGGTGTTTACGGGTGGCTGACCTTTCAGAATCCTATCACATGGTGAGGACCAAACATTTTCTAACCAAACAATTTTTTTTTTTCAAAACAGGTTTATTAGGAACACAGTTGGCTGCTGATCATTCCCTCATGACACTGGTCCCTGAAGGAATCATGGAGGGAAAGTATGGGCAGATAAGAGATGAAAAGGCAAATGACAAGTCTAATTCTTTTTCTTCCTCACAAGTGAAAAGCCTGCCTTTATATTGATTTTCAGATACTGAATATACGTAGTTCATCTGCCAGATAATCTCAAAGTGTCTTACTCTAATAAACAAATAAAATTTATGAGAATGGGAAAAAGAGATGAATCTCTATCTGTTAACAACCTTTACACACACACCTGATAATTAATTGCAATAGAACAGATATTCTACTGGCCTCCTCCTCTTCACAGGGATATAAACCCACCTGTACATTTTTTCACCATGGCAAACATGCTTGCCAATTGACCTGATAGGAAAGAGACGGTGCAATTGTTCATACATTATAATTTGCATATTTGGCTTGACCTTGAGTTATTTGAATATTAAAAAGGGTCATCTTTCTTTAAAATGCTAATACCTTTCAAACTAGGACTGGATGGGACAGTTATTCCTGTGAGTTTGAGTTCTTACTATAATCCCATGTCAGGGACCCCAAAATACAGGGTGGGGCAAGAGGAGGTTTACAGTTGTTCATATGGGAAATAACACAATAATTAATACATAGTAATACAAGAGCGCACTGTGTTCCACGTACTCACAACTGCAGGCTCCTTTTGCCCCATCCTGTGGAGTGTGCACTGACACCCTGTCCACACAGAGGCATCTATGCTCAAGTCTGACACAGCTGCTGTGGAGACAAAACATCACTCTGTGCCTGTTGTTAGTGTGCAACATGCATTTGGGTTCCTCAGATTTGGGGGTCACTAACTGGGAACTGCCAGGAAGACACACAGAGGCGTCCAAACCAGAAACCAACCCCGGTCAGGCTCCCACAGGCCTCATCTGTGGCAAGAGGTGTCTTACCCTTTTCTTAGAACAAACAGCCCTCCCCTCAGCACTCCCATCACCTGTTTCCCCGATCCTGACCCACCTCCCTAGACCTCGCCCAGTTCAGTGTAGAATGAGTTCTCCCAGCCTTTTCCTAGTCTCTTAATTCTGGTGAGCAAGAGATCTTTTCCTATAAAATGTTTTGTCTTCAATTAACCAAGGTAAACAATGATTAAGAATCTTTACATTAGACACTTATCCTACTCGCCTGTAACATGTAATAATAATAGTAATAATAATAATAATAGATTTTAAACATCATTTCATTAAGAAGTTCTCCTTTGTGGAGTCAAAGAAGTTATTCTCAGAAATTTATGCACAAAAGCTAGTCATTTATTTCATTCAACAAATATGTATTAAGTACCCGGGGAGGTAGCTAGAATCACAGGAATTTTATCAGTTTAGCCTAAACTCATTTGAGATAGAATGTCTCTTAGCATACTACCATAATTTATACACCCCAAGGCTGGGCTTACCATATGTTGAGCAAATGGCTAGATGGTATAGGAAATTAATGAACTTTTGCTTATCTAGAGAAATTGTTTTCAACTAAGATGGTGGGGAAATAAGCAATGCTTTTATTTAAGGGTTCTTCCATACTCTAAAAACTTTGTTTCCCAGTGCAAAAGGTAACCTGACCCTCGCATGTATGAAAATGGCACAGTATATACTAAATGAGACGAAGGAGCAAAGGGAGAAACTCCGTTCTTTATTCTCCACCATGCTCTACTTTTAAAAAATCATTAATGCTAGCTACAAATATGAAATCCCTGTTTAGATACTGGTTCTGGACCTTTCTAAAAGAGGCCCATTTCACCTGATTCTAAATGGCATATCTGGCATTCAGCAGAAGGAATAAATTTAAATCAGATGTGTTTGACTGGGGTGATTAGACATTTGTACCCCTAATGTGTGTTTGAGTGTGGTGTGAGTGCACACACACAGGTGCACTGTACGGCACAAATGTTTTTTCAATGTTAGCATTCATTCAAAGTGAACATGTAAATATATACTTTTTGCTAATATAGTCATATTTGCTCTTTAATTCATTCTCTTTGTAGGAGAAAGATCAGTCTGAACTATTTAAAAATTAGAATTAAGAATTTTTATTTAGGTATGGCATTTGTTTTCCAGCACATCACTAACTAGAACTAAATCAATAAAATATGTGTTGCCAAGCATAAGCCTTTAAGATATCTATTTGAATGCATTTTGTTGAATATATTCACATAACTACAACAGCTTCATGAGATCTGCTCATGTAAGGAAAAATTCTTTAGATTCAGCTGAAAGAAAATTGTCAAAATATTTTGAAAGAGGGGTGCACTTGATAAAAATATGAAGCTATTTCTAATTTGAAATAATGATCATATTAAACAATAGATAAGAAATATAGCCTTAAACACTTTAATTTGTTTACAAAACAGAGAAAGGGTATTCATTAGTTTTATTCCAAGTAGGTTGTTTGTTTATATAAGTCTAACCTCTGTCTATTTGTAGATTGGCAAGTTTCTGTATATGTGGAGAATATGTTTTAATTAGCATATTAATTGCTTTTCCAAAATGCTATAAACCATTTATTTTCTTATTCAATCCCACCTTAAACATTCCACCTCTAGGGGAAAAAAAAGGGAAAAGGGAGAAAAATCATTTTTCATGGAGAATTATAATGGAAATTTGTCCCTGCCTAAATTATCAAAAGTTCTGAATTAGTACGTCTAAATTAATTTTCACATATATTAGGGAAGTAATATAAATCTTTTTTAAAAGCCTACAGATGTTTTAACCACTTACCTATTACTTAATACATCTTCAATCAAACACATTTTCTTTAAAGGAAAGGGCCTTAAACAGAAAGTTTTGAAAAACAGGGAATTCTTGGAGGGGGTCAATGGGAAAAAAACAAAGGGGATCTATAATACTTTCAACAATATAAAGATGAATTTTTAAAAAACGAAAGACAGGAAATTCTTACTTTGGAGCTAATTCAATGAGAAAAAGGAGATAAAAGAACGAGTGCGGCCCTGACCGGTTTGGCTCAGTGGATAGAGTGACGGCCTGCGGACTCAAGGGTCCCAGGTTCGATTCTGGTCAAGGGCATGTACCTTGGTTGCAGGCACATCCCCAGTAGGGGGTGTGCAGGAGGAAGCTGATTGATGTTTCTAACTCTCTGTCCCTCTCCCTTCCTCTCTGTAAAAAAATCAATAATATATATATATTTTTTAAAAAGAATGAGTGTGGTTTAGTTTAAAAAACAAGTTTTGTATCTGGAATCTAAGCTTTAGTTCCCATGATATATGATAATCTATTATATTGTATTTGCAAGAAGACATAAATTGTGACTGTTATAGACTATGGTGACAAACATACCTAGAAGGTCAATGTGACTTAATATCTCTGTTGTCTTGGCTCATATATATCTATATATATATATCTACAGCCATCTAGTCAACCAGTGTTTTCTTCATGTTGCCTGCAGCTCTGTTTCCTTCCACCTGCTTTACTCACATCCAAAGCCAGAACTTACAACCTCACACCTGTATTTCCAAAGTTACCACCAATGGAGCTTCCTGCCTTCATTTTCTCATACACTTTGGCACCAAATAAATGTTCTAAATTCCATCTTGGCACTTGTTTAACGGTTTTCCAAGAGACCTCTTTGTCTAACAAATAAAATCCGTACCTTTTTCACCAGTGAGTCAAGTTCTCCCGGATCTGGCTCTAACCTGCCTTTTGAGCTCTACATTCTACTCCATTCCATCCTCAGTGTCCAGTTATACAGACACCCAATGAAACAGCTGCCCTGGCACCATCCCATAGGGGGCACTGAAACATCACTAATAAATTAGAAACACAGTGCCAGTTAACTCAGGTTTCTACCCTCAGACTCCTCACTTACTAGTGAAATGTAAGCCAGACCCCCTCCCATCCATGCAAACTATGCCCTGGGCAGAGACCATGTGACTGTATCCATGTAAATTACCTCTATCCATGGTGAGTATGACTGCATCCAATTATGTGCGATTAACCAAAAAACGCATATGCATATATACATAGCCCATGGACACATACAATAGTGAAGTGAAGGCATGGGGTGCGGTGGGAGGCAGGTGGAGGGGAGCAAACGGGAGAAATGGGAGGCATCTGTAATACTTTCAACAATAAAAATAAATAAAAAATAAATAAAATGAAAGACAACGATAAATATGCTAAGATGTTATGTTACATTCAAAGCACGCAATGGACACCTGATTTTGAACATAGAAAAACATGAAGAAAGGTATACTGATTTTACTAACAAACAATCATTCTTCCCCTACTCTCCCACTAGAAACATGCAACAAATATTCAGAGCCAAATGCTTAGTTTGCCAGGGGCACCCACATATTTCAATCCATCTTCACCCTTGCCCCCTGGTCCACCTACAGTCCCATGAACACACCTCTTCCTTGTGCATGTCATTCCTTCCTCTGGAATACCTTCCTTACTTTTCTTCTCAGCCACCCACAATTCCAACTGTCCTTTAAGACTACTTTTTTTTTTTTCCTGTGACATCTTCCTTAATCTTCACTAGTGATAAGTAATCTCTCTGTCCTCTGAAATCCTGTATTATCTCTGACACAATGCCTTACCGTCTTTTGTGCCATTTTTCTTTCTTTCAGAAAAAATTTATACCTATCTCATGCCAAGCTCTGTTCTTAGAGCCTTATATGCATTTTCCACTTATTTTTCAAAATAACCTTAGATATTATCTTCATTTCCATTTTACAGATGAATAACCTCGGGTTTATTGAAATCAGATAACTTGCTCACAGCTATACATCTCGGAAGAGCATGGTTTAAACCCAGATGTACCTAATTCCAGAGCCTGAGCTCTCGCCACAGCGTCACAGGGCTTCAGTCCTACTTCCCCACCTCCAGGTCAAGTCATTTGAGGGCAAGCAACCTATTTGTGGTACCTATGTGCCTCTCCTCAGTCTCCAAAAGAGATCCTTTCTTCACCATCACAGACATTAAATGTATGTTAACAATGATGCTGGGCCACTTGCCTCCTCGGATAGGGATGTCGTACAGACCCCACCACACCTTCAACGGTTCTAAAAACACTTGAGGATGTGATGAGGCTTCTCCTTCATCTGTATGGGCAAAGCCGGTCCCTGCAGGAGCAGCACTGCAGAAGCTACACAATTTGGAACCACCTTCCCATGATCTTCTGCTAAATTAGTGTTATAAATTTTAGTTATAGCTTTTAAATATTTCCTGGTCAACCTCGTTCTCAATTCTCCTAAAGGGCTCACCATCGAACACTGTTCCAACTTGCCAACACCGTGGAACAGTAAAGTAATGCCATATGCTCATTTGTCAAGCAGCTTGACAGACATATCCAACCAAACAACCAGAGAGTGGAGTAATTGAAATGACAAGGCCCTATAAAGGATTAAAATATATGCATGTTCAAAAGTCTAATGCAGACATAATTTGAAATGAGATGACTCATCAAAGCAGGAGGGGAATACAAAGACTTATCTACCTGTCTATCATTATAAAAACTAAGAACAGCTTAAATATCCAACAATAAGGAACCGCTTAAGTGAATAATGATGTTTACAAACAATGGAATACTACACAGCCACCAGAAATTATTCAATCATTCAGTAAATATTTACTGAGTGCCTTATTTGTATGAAACAAATAAAGAAATGATACCTGCCCTCATCGTGCTTAGAGAGTAGACAGGGGTGGGGAAACTTTTTTCTCCCAAGGGCCATTTGGATATTTATAACATCATTCACGGGCCATACAAAATTATCAACTTAAAAGTTAGCCTGCTATATTTGGTCAAACATTTAAGTAACTCACCCCTGTGCCTTAGCGGGGCCAGACCAAATGATTTCAAGGGCCTTATATGGCCCATAGGCCGGGCATTCCCCTCCCCTGATATAGAAGAATATGTAATGACAAGAAATTCTGTATTGTTGAGTGGCACGGTGGGTTACAATAGGGTACAATGTGTATGAATTAACTTTTTATTGCTGCTGTTTTTAAAATAACTTGAAGATGTATTTATTCTATGTTCATAGCCTGCCCCGAAGAAATACACATATTAGTAAGTAGTTCTGGCATATTTAATTTTATAGAAAAAAGTAAAGCTGCACATTCTAAAATAAAATTCTGAGTAAAAAGTAAGCAAGTACAAATCAAATGAAGATTAATTTGGAATTCCAACTAAAACTAATTTTCAGACAGCTTTTTGAAATATTTTTATATACTCATTATAAACATATTGTTTTAAAGTATGAATTCAAAGACTTCCACTGAGCAATTATAATGCAAGTTTATTGTCCATTGACGAATTTAAAACAAAACAGAAAAATAAAGGAATAAAAGTCAACTACAAAAAGCAAGAAGAAATGAAATTTAAAATCTCGTATGAAATGGCAATAAAAAGGACATCTACCATTCTGGGTTGCCCTGTTTTGCATAAGTCTTGAAGATATATTTAACTTGCAAGAAGATAAGTTCTATAATAATTTCTTAAGCTAAACAAAAATAACCAGTAAGATTTATAATATTCAAACCCATTTATTCTTTCAAATTCTTAATTCTTAGCAATAGAGAAAAACTTCTTAAGTTGATAAAGAGCATCTTTAAAAAAAACCCTATGTATTTAATGTTGAAAGACTAAAATGCTTCCCCCCCCGCCAAGATCAGGAATAAGGCAAGGATGTATGCTCTCATCAATGTTATTCAACAAAGTATTAGAAGTACTAGCCAAGGAAGTAAAGCAGGAAAAAGAAATTAAAGATGAGAATGGATCTATTCCTATTTGCAGATGACATGATTATCTATATAGAATATCCCAAGAAATCTACAGCAACAAAAAAAAAATCCTCCTAGAACTAGTGAGTTCCAGCAAAGTAGCAAGACACAAGATTAACACACAAAAATATAATTATACTAGAGGCCCGATGCACAAAAATTCGTGCAAGAGTAGGCCTTCCTTCCCACAGCTGCTGGCACCGGCTTCCCTCCAGCACCCGGGACCCGGGCTTCCCTCTGGCTGCCAGCAGGCACCGGGGACCTGGGCGGCTTCGCTCCGGCCCCATCTTCGTCTGGAAGGTAGTCAAGTCTAATTAGCATATTACCCTTTTATTATTATAGATTTCTATATACGAGCAATAAATGTGGGCACCAAAATTAAAAACATAATCCCATTTATAGTCACTAAGAAAATGAAATAGGTGTAAATCTAACAAAACAAATACAACGCTTATTGCTGAAAATTACAAACCATAATGAATGAAATCAATGAAGTTTTAAATGGACAGGCATAAGTGGACAGGCATACTGAATTCATGGATGGGAACACTCAACAAAGCAAACATATTAATTTCCTCGAACTGATATACAAGTTTAATGCAATTATTATCAAAATCTAAGCAATGTTTTGTATATAAAGACAAGAATATTCTACAATTAAATGAGAATGCAAAGAAACTAGAATAACTGAAACAACTTTGAAAAAGAAGAATAGAGTGGGAGGAATCAGTGATCAAGACTGTAGTACTAGTAACGAGATAGACATTAGCTCATTGGAACAGAATAGAGGACTGAGAAATAGATCCACACAACATAATATATTCATATGATTTTTTACAAAGGTGCAAAAGGAATTGTGTGGAGGAAAAATAACTTTTTCAACAAAAGGACTGAAGCATAACCATTTATAAAAGAACCTTGACCTAAACCTCACACCTTATACAAAACTTAACTCAAAATGGTCTGACTTGCCGAAACCGGTTTGGCTCAGTGGATAGAGCGTCGGCCTGCGGACTCAAGGGTCCCAGGTTCGATTCCGGTCAGGGGTATGTACCTTGGTTGCGGGCACATCCCCAGTAGGGGGTGTGCAGGAGGCAGCTGATCGATGTTTCTCTCTCATCGATGTTTCTAACTCTCTATCCCTCTCCCTTCCTCTCTGTAAAAAATCAATAAAATATATTTTTTTAAAAAAATGGTCTGACTTAACTGTAAAATATGAAACTATTAAAAAAAATCTTAGAAAAAAAATAGGAGAAAATCTTTGGGATCTAGGCAAAGAGTTCGTAAAGTTTATACTAAAAGCACTATGAGTAAAGGAAAAACGGATAAATTTGACTTCATCCAAACTAAAATTTTTTGTCCTTTGAAAGCCTTTCTTAAGAGGATGAAAAAATAAATTTCAGATTAGGAGAAAATATTTGCAAACCACCCACCTGACCAAAGACTTATATCCAGAATATATAAAGAATTTACAAAACACAGCTAGATATGGGGAAACTGGGTCATTCATACATTGCTGGTGGGAAGGCAAAATAATATAGCCGCTTTGGAAAACAGTGTGGTAGCACCAGGAAGCTCACTGGAG